GCTCCAAGCCCCGTCCAGCCTGGCCTTGGACACTTCCAGGGATGGGGCAGCCACAGCTTCTCTGGGCAGCCTGTTTATGTGCTCAGAGCATCCACTCCTTCCCTGGTCAGTGAGGTCTGCTCTGACCAGCACACTGCAGACTTCAGGAACTGTTTTTGCTTTATCTGAGTGTAATTTCATTTCTTTTCAGGTTACCCACCCTTCTGTTCCGAGACTCCTCAAGAGACTTATAAGAAAGTGATGAACTGGAAAGAGACCCTGACATTTCCTCCAGAAGTTCCAATCTCTGATAAAGCCAAGGATCTTATTTTAAGGTGCCAGTCACATGGTTTGCCAGTTAATATAGCACTGATTTTCTTGTCTTGCTAACTGTGTTCTGTGCCTCTCATGGCTTGTTTCCCATGGAAAAACCCTGATGGTACAAACCACTGTGCACATGCACCAAATGCTGAACTCCCTCGTCAAATACTTTTGTCTCTCAGGTCATTTAGTTGTTCCCTGACTGCTCTGGCAAAATGTTTCTGCTCCTTATTTTGCTTGCAAGCTTCTCATGGAAGCCACTTTAATCCTTTTGCCAGAGCTGGCTTCTTACAACAGGAATGATTTTGCCATTGTATGCACTGGAGCATACAAATGTATCCCAGTGCTTGCTGACTCATTGTATTTCCAATCATTATCTCTTCTCAGGACAGAAATATAAAGGTCTACATTTATAGACTTTATATGTTCTCCTGCTCTATCCTGGTCCTGAAATAGAAAGGCCACATTATCCTGTTGTGAAGGAATAGCACATGTTAACTGTGGCATTGGACACGACATTCCTGAACATAACTCTGTGTGTTGGTTTTGCTGTGGGAGTTCTTAGTCTGCTCCATTTATATGTTAAGAAACTGTAGCAGAATCAGTCCAGAAAGCTGTTCCATTTCTGGGTGGAATGCTTTCGTTTTCATTCTCCCTTCATTTTCATTCTTCCTTCCATCCCAGATTTTGCTGTGAATGGGAGCACAGAATTGGTGCATCTGGTGTGGAGGAAATAAAGAGTAACCCATTCTTTGAAGGGGTTGATTGGGAGCACATCAGGTAAGATGCTTTGCAGAAAAGGAAGCTGCTCTTCTCTAGGGACTGTCCAGGCCAGTCCTGTTCAGCAGCAGGGAGCAGGTGAATGGAATTTATCATATCCAGGCGTGGGTGAAAGTATTTTGTTCCCTACCTGAAGCTTGCTGAGGTTTAGGCACTTTCAGTCTTGATTCTGTTAAGAAAGGGAAAGTGGCTGAATCCTGCTTTGTCTCTGAAATCTTAATGCTCCATCTGCTCTCCTTGGCAGAGAGAGACCTGCTGCGATTTCCATAGAAATTAAAAGCATTGATGATACCTCAAACTTTGATGAATTTCCAGAATCTGATATCCTTAAACCAACAGGTAAATGATTGATTGATTCTGCATGTGAACAATCTTTCCTCTCCTCCAGTAAAATCATCTTTCCTGTTAATCACAGAAAGGATCTTACTAGATGCTAACTTTTTTTTCTCATGGCCACACGCCTTGGTAGCCTCGTGGTGCAGGGTGTGCAAGCTGGAATTGGGGTTCCAGGAGATGCAGGATGGAAATGATGGGGGAATTATGTGAGAAAGGGCATCTCTGAGGCAGCAGAGCTCCCAGCGAGCTCAGATCTCAGCAGGACCTTGGTACTGGCTGATCCCTGCTGGCACAGCTGGCACTTGGAGTAGTGGGTGGGGAAGGGTGGGACAGAAAGGGGATGTTTTGGTGTAAATTTCTAAAGGATCACAGCATAGTCACACACTTCTCCATGAGTTTAAATACAGAATCCCAGAATGGTTTGGGTTGGGAGGGACCTTAAAGCTCATCTCATTCAACCCCCAGCCATGTGTAGGGACACCTTATACTAGCCCAGGTTGCTCCAAGCCCTGTCCAACCTGGCCTTGGACACTCCCAGGGCATCCACCACCTCTCTGGGCAACCTGTGCAAGTGTTTCACAGCCCACACTGTAAAACATTTGTCTGAATCTACCCTCTTTTAGCTTAAAATCATTGTGCCATGTCCAGTGTTCCAGCAGTTCTTTCCTGGGCTTGAAGCACGAAGCTGAATCCTGGGTTTATGATATTTTTTCCTGCCCTATTCCACATCCAGTGTTTTGTATGAAAATAAACTTGGCAGTCTCCAAAGGGTAACTTTATTTCTTTTGTGTCTTCCCAGTGGCAACAAGCAACCACCCAGAGACCGACTACAAGAACAAAGACTGGGTTTTTATCAATTACACCTACAAGCGTTTCGAGGGCCTGACGGCCCGAGGGGCAATCCCATCCTACATGAAAGGAGGGAAGTGACACAGCTTTACCTGGGACTTCTGAGCCGTGGAATTCTGTTGCTGTACTTTGGGTTTATACCCATAAAAGAATTTTATTTTTTTTTTTTTAAAGAAAACTTGAGGGCTATCAACTCTTGGAGGAGACTTCAGGACCCTGTTTTGTTACACGCCTGCTTGTTACTAAGGATTTTTTTTTTTCCTGCGCCATTGAAAAATTCCACAACGTGTTTGCATCATCTCTGCTGCCAGCACCTTTTGCTGCTTCAGGAGCAAGAGTTTTTCCTTTTTAAATCCTTTGCCACATTGTACAGTCCATCGGGAGATGGGAGCCTTCCCTTTGGCATTGCAAAGCACGGGATTCTGTAGGATTGTTTGCCAGTCCTGCATTTAAGTGACAAACTCACTCTGCCAATTCTGCCAGCACTGTTTGCCCAGTGGCTGAGGACTCCAGTAACAAAGCAATAATTAAAGCTTGAGACAGACAACTCTCCAGGAAACTGTCGAGCAGAAGGACACAACTCGGATTGCCTTAACCTTAGTTTGTAGTGCTGTTTTTATAATGCTTCTTGGAAGCCTCTCAATAGCATTTCTCAGCTCTGTCACAGTGGCCTCCAGTCCTGGTGCACTTTACTTTTGGTACTAAGTTACCCTCAAGCCATTTAATATTTTTTCTAAATTAAGAAATTGTGCAACACTTTTCCTTCCCTGGATAGAGGAGAAATGGGCCATTCCCTGCTCCGAGCACGGAGTCTTTGGTTACTGTGTGACAGGGGGGATCTGTAAACAGCCCAGATAAACCACAGCTGGTCACACTGTGCATCTGGAATTAGAGCAGAGGGAGGGAAGTTTCCTGAACCTGATCCTTGGTGGGTAGGTTGTGCAGAGCTGGCTCAGCCCAAGGCTCCCTTGGCTGGCTGGTGCCATCTCTCGGCCGTATCTGAGCTCTGCTACGTCTTCACTGGTTTAAAGACAAAAAATGTGGCGTTTTTGCTCTTGGTTTTGAGCAGAACAGGATCAGAATGTTGCTGATGGAGGCCTGCCTAGTGTTTCCTTACAGAGCTGCTCTTGCTGTCCTGGCTGAACCATCTGTCCCGGGAGTCTTCCACAGACTGGGGTCACTTTTGGGGCAGTGGAACCCACCGTGTCCACTCTTAGATTATTGCCTACTATAACTTATAAAAGTTCTGATCAGGTTCTCTACAGGAGAGCCCCAAAGTGCCTTTCCTTGCCTAAGCCTCTCTGGGAACATGGTACCATTCTGGGAGGGAGGGTTCTGCCTCAGCTGAGCTTTTCCTAATTCCTTTTTCTAACCACGAGCTCCACGTTGAGTTGAGCCCGTTTGTAGTTAACTCTGCACTTCCAGGGGCAGGTGGCATTAACCCTTTGGGGCTGCCTGGTTCCAGTCTGTAATTTGCAATCAGATTGATAAAAATTATAACTTTTGGAGGTTTCTAAAAGCATGTCTCAGTTTGAATTATCTTGGATTCCTGCAGACTTCTGTTGGTGCTGAACACTAACTCCAGAGTACAGACAAGACAAAGCTCAAGTGATGTTTCACAGGAAAGAAAAAAAAGAAAGGCTTCCAGGGCTGTTTAGTCTTGAATTTCTTGATTAGGAAACAAAACAAAATGGGTTTGTAGTGGAACTTTTTTTAATAGGTGCTTTTAGGGAATTTTTACCTACATGTCTGTTGAGTGCCATCCTGAAGGACTGATGGGGGATTGCCAGTACTGTACATAACTCCTTCGTGTCCTCTCCTCTCCCTCACCACCCCCTGTGCTTTTTGTACTTGTCCCATGACTTTAATGACTTGCCATAAGCAGTTTAGGTACCAGTTGGATCCTACCAAGCTGAAATGCAAAGTAGCCTTAATCAGAAGTGATCCCAGGATCACTGTAGTCAGTTGGGCTCACTTGGATGAATAAGGGCTAACGGAAGGAATGACTTATAGGATCAGGCTTTTACCAACTCATCCCTAAGATCACCTTCTGCTCCCTTTGTACTTTGTGTGAAGGGCTGATACCAACTTCTCCTGCAGTTTCTTCCAGCCATTTGAAAATGTTGCCTTATAAACCATTGGAAATAATATAAAACCAATTTTTTTTTTCAATTCCTAACTACTTAGTTACTGCCTTAAAATGAAATAAAACAAAAATCAAAATCCTTTCAAGCTGCTGTGGATTAGCAACAAATGATTTTGAGATAGTAGCTGCATTCGTAGCCCTTTACTGAAAGGGACCAGCATTTTTATTTATAAATACCAAAGAAGCTAAACAATTATAAGTTGTGATGACTTGCTGTGAAAAAAGCAGCTCTCTAGTACTGTGTATTGTGCATTTTTAGTGCTGTGTTTGAAGTGTGACCCCTCAGGTCACTGAGCTCAAGGTGGTTTTTCAAAGGCATGAGGAGCAGTTGGGTACCTCATTCCTGTTGTCTTCCAGCAGAAGTTGGATGTCTTTGAATCCAGTCCTCTTGGACACACCTTCAGTGGTAGCATCTGTATCCCAGGTGCATTTTAAGCCTGCTTCCTATTCCAGTTTTTCACCAACTTTAGGGAAAAAAGTGTGTCCTACAGTGTCTCCTTCCCAGGATCCATAATTCACTGCTAACTAAGGATTTTGGATGCCTGTTCCATCTCCCATGGTAGCCAAACATTTTCCTTAGCTGCTTGTGTTTTGAGGTTGTTTGTATCTTTGGCTCTTTTTTATTAACCTGCAGTTGCTGGACTTGTAGGAGTAATTCCAGTCTGAATTTCCAGTGGATCTGAACACCTTATGCTGCCAGTTCATCTCTGTATCATGCCTAGCACAAAGCTGCACTAAGTGTTTCTTATCACTGTGCCCCGACTCTGCCTTAACCTCTTCAGTTGAAAAAGCATTCTGTAAATATTTGAAAGCTGTTCCAAAATTGCACTGTAAAATTTGGCAGGTGTAGTCAACTTTTTATGGCTAGATCTCATTGTGTTGTGTAAATAAATAAAATCCACTTCCTAGACACACTGTTGCTGGCATGTTGTGTTTTACAAACTGCAATTGTGGAATCCCAGACTAGTTTGGGTTGGAAGGGACCTTAGAGATCCAATTCCACCCCCTGCCATGGGCAGGGACACCTTCCACTAGCCCAGGTCGCTCCAAGCCCCATCCAACCTGGCCTTGGACACTTCAGGGATCCAGGGGCAGCCACAGCTTCTCTGGGAACATGTGCCAGGGCCTCCCCACCCTCACAGCCAAGAACTTCTTCCCAATATCCCATCTAATCCTGCCCTCTGGCAGTTTGAACCCATTCCCCTTGTCCTTTCACTCTGGTTCCTGATGAACAGGCCCTTCTCCACCTTCCTTGTAGCCCCTTCAGATACTGGAAGGTGCTCTTGAGGTCTCCACACAAATCTCACCTTGTTCAAATTCCTAATGCCTTTCCCAAGCTTCATCACGAAAACCCTGGAAGTCCATCCAAGGCTGAAGGTGGAAATCAAAGCCAGACCTGCTCCAAAGCTGTTTTCTTCCAAAGGCAAGTAGGTAGAAGTGCAGAGCACCTTTCACAGCACTGACCGAAAATCCTGGGGCTTGTCAGAGATGCTGCAGTTTGAGGGTGTTGTCCCAGGCCTGGGCTGCCTTTGGAACATCCCTGCAGTGAGTTGGGATGAGCTGAAAGAAACTCCGAGTCCTCTCAGCACAAAAGGTGGGAACATCTCTGCAGTTGGTCCCTGCCAAATCAACCAGGCTCTGTCTGATGCCAAGCTACTCCTGAGGCTTTGGGATCACAACCACAGGTACTTTACGAAGCAAGGAAACAAAACCTTCTATCCCCCTGTCCCCAGCCTGTTCTTCTACTCTTCTACTTGTTTTAAACCAAGTTTTAAAACAGCCAAACAAGCCACATATAATTTATATTTTAATACAGAAACCATACATCTGGAGTTCATACACAGCATGGGGAACACTTCAGTACATCTAGAATAAGACAGGAGTTGACCTTGTACCTGAAGTAGGTGACCATGAGAGGAGGAAAAGCAAACACTTTTTCAATTTTATTCAGTGTTCCAATGGAATTCACTTTACTAACAAAAATTAAAATCCCGAATTCATCTTTAATTACTTGGGAAAGCCAATAAACTACACTGGGTGAGTGGTAAAAACTTCATGGAATTCATGGGAGCTGGAGGTCCAGTTGATTACACAGGGAACCACGAGCTCCTACAGGCAGTGACAGTCTTTAACCCATGGCCACTATTTCTATCAAACTGGCCGAATCCTTCCAGAGGCTGAGCTGACCCCTGGGCTCAGGGACACACACGGTGGGATTTGGTTTGGCTGGCCATGGTACTTTGCTGTCAGATCCCAAAAGGTGCCATCGAGGTCCAATTCTCAGCACCTGATGCCTTGACAGAGTCCTGAAGAGGAGCTTTCAACAACAGCCCCCTTCAGTCCCTAGAGCAGAACATGTGTAAGCTCCAACTCCAACTCAGCTGGGCAATACCAATACTCAAATAATTCAAACTGACACTGCAGTAAAAATAAATATGCACTGAAAAACATAATCACAGGGCCTGGGGGCCATCACTGCTGGGCACACAGGGCCTGGGGGCAACCTCCATCCCTGCTGGGCACACACAGGCTCACCAGTGCTGCTGTCTGTCCTGAGGGAATGGCTCATCACCAAGGCTGGGAATGGGGCTGCTCTGGCCCCTGGTGGGAGGTTAATGGTCCATATGTCTTCCTTTCTCTACTACAAAAATAGAAATTCATCTGGAGCAACAGAGGGAGTGACTGCACAGCCCCCCAGCTCTGTGCAGGCACTTCTTGTACTGACCCAATGACACAGAGGGAGGAGTTTTCAAAAGTACTCAGGTGGAACTTGGGCATCTGAAACCCTGGGACCTGAAATCTTCCCATAGGCACTTTTAAAAAGAAGAGATCTATTTGCTGCACTTGGGAAAAAAGCTAAGAACAGAATCAGAAACCTGTATCCACACAAATGGGAACTGAATGTATCAGCAAGAGGTGTCTTGGCAGAGATTTGTTACTCGTAACTAAAAAGTTTTGCTTGATCTTGTCATGTTACACCAAAAACCAGAGCCATCCTCAGCAGCAAACAGCAGCAATCCTCACTGGTCAACAAATGCTCCATGCACTTGGCAGTCAGAGGGAGAATAATACAAATTGATGTATGATGCAGTCCTGATAATAAACGATTATACTTTCTAGGGGCAGACTAATACTGACCTCTGCTTTGCCAAGTCTGACCAGGTAGCTCAGTGCCCAAATGGTCCAGGTTTCAACACCATCGTAAGAGCAGCACTGACCTGAACAACTCTGCAAGGAACCCTGTCCCTCTCTCTTCCTGAATGGTTTCAGCTTTTCTTTGCACCACCACCATGTTCAAATACTGCAGTTCTGGAGTCTTTAAACTCCCCTCCAGCCAGAAGGGATGGCTCTGGGAGGCTGCCCTGTTCTGAGTGCCCTCAGCTCAGCTGGGGCAGAGCTGAACTCACCATGTGCTCATCAGTGGTTAAGTCAGCCTAGAGGGAAGTCCTACAGGTAATTCCTACAGAAAATTCCTAAAAGAAACTCCTGCTGCAGGAACAAGACCAGCAAGCTCCAACCTATCTATGCTAAACCAGCCTGGAGTGTGTCTGTTCTCACAGTCACAGCTTTGTTGGCCCTGAACCCAAAATTCCCAGAGCCTTACACAGACCAGGATACTACACTCAGAGCAGCAAAGGAGTTGTTGCCAGGTATGTGTATTTTTCTCTCCTGAGGGCTGGGTTACTATTGGTATTTCTTACCTGCCTGACAACAAAATAGTCCACTCAGCTCCACACTGGGAGGTAGCTGGCCTTTTAAAGCTGCAGCAGCACAGTGTTCCTTGGAGAGTCTACAGGAATTCTGACCAACTAAGGTGGATGAGACCATGGATTTTACTCAGGTACTGTTTGTTCTGGGAGCTCCTCCACTGGCTTTTTTTGTCTTAGCAGGGGGATGGAGGAGACAACTGAAAGTCTGTAGCATGCACAGTCAACTCTAGAAAGGTTCACATCTACTTGGCTACTAAACAGATTTACTTGGTTGGTAAAACATCAGCTACAGTCTCTTTTGGGTTTTCCTTCAGCACCATCTACTCATTTTACTGAACTTAACAGAAAACATTCCTAAAAACAATGATTCCATCTCATGGAGAAGTATGTATGGGAAATTCCTGTGAACAGGCATAAGCTTCCTATGGACCTGGTTTATCCTAGACAGTACAGCATGCTGGATCCAAAGCCAGGTGGCAGTGCAAACAGATTCCTCCACGCTCAGGATTTTGCTGTCACAACTGTGCTACATTTCTGCTGGTTGATGAAAGAGCATCATCTGTCCTGCTTTGATGTTCACTCCTCTGTAACTGATTCCCACAAAAGCAAAGCTAAGTGCCTAATGGTAAAGGAAAGCTTTGTCTTGACAGGCCCAGAACTTCCTCTCTCATGTCAAACAAGATGTTTCTACATAATTGTGCTCTTCTTTTAGAAGTTTAGATAAAATATCCAGCACCCACCAATCCGGAAGCCTTTGTAGTAGAAACAAACGGCATCGTTTCCTTTTTGTCTGAGGAGATGTTGCTTTTGATTGCACAATTCAGACTATGGAGTGTGGCTCTTTATTAACATGCTTGTAATATGACAACGCAGTAAGAGCATGAAGGAGGATAAAGCACCTTGCAGGAGTCTGTGTTCCACCGCTCGGGATGAGACCACGCTGAGATGTTCCCACATCCAGCAGGATTCTCCAGCACTAATCCGGGACATCGTTAAAAACCATCTGGGAGAAGGGGGCGTTCAGCCTGTCCAGTTCATCCACTTGGGGGGGGTGATGCATTATCACCTCGTGGTCCTCTGAGACATCATCCCCCACCGTGACCAGGTTTGTGAGGGATTTGCTCCGAACACACTGGAAATCCACGTGGCGGCTCTTGCCCTCTTCCTTCTCCCAGGACATCTGGATGAACGGCCGCTGGACGTAGTTGTAGATCACTTCTGAGCGGCCACCGGGCCTCCTCTTCACCTTCTCTTTGCAGGTGGGGTATCCTGGAAACACAGACAGCCCCTCAGCTGCACTGCACCCCTCTGACTCACAACAGCATTCCAGAGGAGCCAGGTGGGAGTGACTGTGGGGTCAGGGTGGGACACACACACACAGCTCAGCAGACAAATGCTCACATTCCACATTTTACATTGTTGGCTTGCAAAAGACTGTTCTCTTTTCCCCTGCCAAGGAGTCCTGGAAGGCTGGACATTCCTCAAGAAGGAAAACTTGAAGCTGCAGGAGCAGGCCATTCCCATGTGCCAAAGGTGGGGATGAAAAGGAGGAAGAAGGGGCAGGAGGACAAATCAGGGCAAATCAGGAGGACTCTGAGGATGTCATGAGGTTATGCAGGGGAAGAAATGAGAAAGGCCAAGGCTAAACATGAGGCCAGGTGTACCCAGGTGGGCAAGGAGGCCAAGGGCATCCTGGTCTGGACCAGCAATAATGTTCCAGTAGGACCAGGACAGTGATTGTCCCACTGCTGAGCCCACACCTTGAATCCTGGGGTCAGAACAAGACAGACATTGAGGGGCTGGAGCGTGTCCAGAGAAGGGAATGGAGCTGGGGAAGGGTCTGGAGTAGCAAGAGCAGCTGAGGGAGCTGGGGGGGCTCAGCCTGGAGAAAAGGAGGCTCAGGGGGGACCTTCTCGCTCTCTGCAACTCCCTGACAGGAGGGGGGAGCCAGGTGGGGGTCGGGCTCTGCTCCCAGGGAACAAGGGATAGGATGAGAGGAAACAGCCTCAAGTTGCAGCAGGGGAGGTTTAGGTTGGATATGGGGGAAATTTTTTTCACCAAAAGGGTTGTCCAGCCCTGGCACAGCTGCCCATGGTGAAGTCACCATCCCTGGAGGGACCTAAAACATATGTGAATGTGGTGCCTGGGGACATGGTTTAGTGGTGGGCTTGGCAGTGCTGGGTTAATGGTTGGACTCAATGATCT